TAATTTGTGTTTATATTTAAAAAATGTGATAAATTGTGTTTATATTTCAAATATGTGATAAATTGTGTTTATATTCCAATTTATTCAAAAACTTAACTATTTTTTTTAACAGGCAAATGACATCTCCTCCAACATCTCCTCCAGCATCTCCTGCCACATCTCCTCCGGCATCTCCACCTCCCCCCCCATCTCTAAAGAGGACTCGACAAGCCACACGGTTGAAAAAGTTGACCGTTCGTCATATGGTAGGAGATAAATTGGTTGTGAGTGTGGATCCAAAGATTGGCAAAATATCAGGGCCACATCACACTCAATTTAGGTCCTACTTGGGTACTCTTGCTAGAGAAAAGGTATGTAATTTTTTACAGTTTTTAACTTGTTATGCATATATGGTCAGCATATGTAAATGGATTGATATCTAACGTTTTAAGTTCATAATTAGGTATCTATTTTGCATCCATCTTGGGATTATGTGGAGGAGACTTGCAAAAATTTAATTTGGCAAGATATTTTGATTAGTTTTGTTAACTCGTTAAGTTATGTTGAGTTAAGTTAGATCCTAAACTTTGTTATCCTAATTTATTTTGTTGTTTTTGCAGAATCACTTCGATATTGTTAACTCTGAACAAATTAGGAGAAAAGTCATGTCATCTATTGCCAAAATGTGGAGGCAATTCAAGTCGACATTGACTTCGAAATGGATATTTAATGAGCAAGCCGTTAGCAAAGGATTAACTCCTTGTCAGCGTTATGGCATAGATGAGGAGACTTGGAAGCAGTTTGTTAGGAGTAGGACTGGTCCATAATGGGAGGTATGTTACTATTTAAACACTTTGGTATGTTTCCATATTGTCTTATTAATTTAGCACATTCTAATATCATATTATGTTGCAGGAGAAGCAAATAAAAGGAAAGGAGATTCAGAGGCTGAATGTGGCCCCCCACCGTTTGTCTCGTGGGGGGTATGATTTGTTGACGCAACGCATGATGGAGGAGAAGGCTAAACTCCGAGAAGCTGGGTTAGCCTCTTCTGGTGTAAGCTAGGAAGAAATTTCCCCATCATCTCCTCCAAAGCGTCATCAAAAATGGAAGAGGGCTCGCCAAAAGCCATCCGGTGAAATGACATTAGAGGAGGCCCGCTTGATTGCTGAGCGGATTGTAAGTCAAATTTATTTCTTTCAACCTCATTAACCATGCTTTGTCATTCATCAATTTTTTTTACAATATATAATGCTCAATTGTAGGATTCTTTAGAGGACCAGTTTACACAGGGAACATTCGTTCCCCGTGGTCGTGAAGATATCTTAACTACTGCTATTGGACGCCCAGAACACCCAGGGCGTGTTCGTGTTGTTGGAGTTGGTGTGGGTATTCGAGCATATTTTGGAGCTTCATCATCAGACCATACCCACACCACATCATTGAGCCAGCAGGAGATGACGAAGTTGGAGGAGAGTCTAACAGCGAAGCTGAGACCAGCAATGGTTGAAGAGCTGACAGCGACGCTGACACCAACCATTACTGCATGAGTTCAGGAGGAGATGATGCGTGTATTTGGTTCAAGTCTAGCATCCATGGGTGTCACACAGCCTACCCACCCACCTATGGATGTTCCTCCTCCATCTGCCGCACGAGTTAGCACTAAGGGTAGTTGTGCTAACCCAAATATTGCTGATGAAGAGCTTCCTGCAACTAATCAAGAGGTTGTTGTTGTTGTTGTTGCAGACACTGACCACTCAGGTATGTGTGGATGATATCTTCCTGAAAAAAATTAATGTGCATATGAATAATTAATGTCTTATTTTTGTGTAATCAAGTCAGTGTGAATTTTATGTTGATGAGGATGGATCTGAACCACGATTGGTGGCGGTTGGTTCAATTGAAGAGGGGGCCTCTACAATTCATAGTGTGCCTTTAGCACCTAACTTGGCCAAAGTGGTCATTGAAGAGGTTCGAGATGCTTATGCTCTTGTACCTGTGCCCACAGACGAGGTGATGACAGTGGGACAGGCCCTCCAGACCTTCATTGCATGGCCTAGACATCTAATGAGGCCTATTTTGAAAAAGGTTTGCATATATTTTCTGTTAATTATCATATGTAGTCTCGTACTATTTTTTATTATTTCTCAAGTCAATGTTATTTTATGTAGGATGTTCAGAAGCCACCCCAGTTGCCTAAACTGGTTCCTTCTTCCCAAACTAGTAAAGGCAAGGAAGTAGATGTCCCAGAAAATCCAATTTTTCAACTACTATCTGTTGTCCCACAGTTGTATATTCAATCTTTTCAAGTGAAGTGGGATGTTGATAAGTTAGGGGTAGACAATAAGAACTTTCCCCTTTACATTGACCACACCGATGTTGTGGAGATAGCAGTTGGCAATCGTTGTCTAAACATAGCAAGTGTTACAATTTTGGACAATGTAAGTATATATTTTTATTTACTAATTATGTTATTTGAAGTTATCGTCATATTTAATGTACATTGAACTGGCTACTTTAGGATGATGAATGAATTGTCGGAGCAACAACGCACCCAAGATGTGTATGGATTTTTTGAGCCCCAATCCATACAAAAATCAGGAAACAAGAGAGAAGAAGTTCAAATATACATCCAAAATTGGGTGATGAAGTCAAGGAAGAAAGTTTACTTGGGTGCTTACTTCTATCAGTAAGTATTTAAGCGTATGAAATTATTCGCATTAAATTTTATAATGTATTCTATGTATCCTAACTTTTTGTAATGTAAGCAGTAAATCATTGGCAGCTGTTGGTTGTTTGCCCAAAGCAGAATGTTGTGGCTTGGTTCTCGCTCATTGGGCAAGAGACTCGATGTAGATATTAAATACATTGTAAATAGGTACACATTCTTATAATAATTTAAAGAATTATTACTTGTTTTGTTACTTAATTGTTTCATTATATTTTGTATTGCACAATGCATTTAAGGTTTGCAATACAATTGATGGAGTACACACAAGCAAAAGCACGACTCCAAATTGGATTTTTGTTAATGTAAGTCATTTTATATTTATGTATTATATCATTCATTTTATATGTCAAATTAATATATTATTTTTTGTAGTGTAATAGGCAACCAGGATCTTATGAGTGCGGATATTATGTTATGCACTGAATGTGGTTGATTGTTGTTAGCAAGACTGAGGATACATGGAATCAGGTTTGCTTAAATTTAGTATTCAATAAAATTAAATATTGTGTCATTGGATACTCTGTTAAATTATCTTTTTTCTTGTAACAGGTATTTTCAGACAGAGAAGCCCATAGAGACCATTGACGATATTAGAAACACCTGGGCCGATAAGTTTGTTAAAGTTAGAAGTAGGCAAGTTTAGTAGTTAGTTTACTAGTTAGATTAGTAGTTAGTGTATTTGTTAGATAAGTAGTTGGATACATATTTGTAATTTTGGATACAATTTTATTTTTGGATGCACATTCAATTAGTTTATATCTTGTATATTGTCTGTCTGGGTTATATTCAAATTTGCATGTATTGTATACAAACATTGGGATACCCTGTATAAACAAAGCGGTCATTTAAAAAAAAAGACTTTCTACGTCGGTTGTGTCAATAACCGACGTAGAAAATAATAATATCAACGTTGGTTTTTACCATAACCGACGTAGTTAAAACCCAAATGCAGTGTTGTTTATAATCAGCGTTTCTATGTCGATTCTATATACCCGACGTTGAAAGTCTACACTTTCAACATCGGTTATGCATACTCGACGTTGAAAGTCTACACTTTCAACGTCGGGTATGAATACCCGACATTGAACGTGTAGACTTTCAACGTCGTCTTATACAACGTCGGTTCTAGAACCGCCGTTAAAGGCCTTATATAACCGATGTTGAAAGCCAATATACGTAGTAGTGTGAGAATGTATAATTTGCACGACATTCAACTCTTCTTCATTCAGCTAAGTACTTTTCCATTTAATGTCCAGATTTTTTTCACTTGATGACCTAAACGATTCTTATTCCACCATTTCCGATACAGAAACTCCTTTTCATTCCTTTCTGAATTATGTTTTGTTCGTGGCAAAATCGTTTCTTCAGTCACGCATTCATGCGTGGTAACCTAATTGAAAGTTAATTAAAAACAAGTTCTTGTAAAATCAATTTCTTTTTCTAAAATGATTTTTTCTTACTAAAACCAACATGATCTAACTTTTATTTTTTTAAATTCTATAGATTAGTTAATAAATCATTATATACTATAATCACTTATTTATTAATTTTGTAATCTTAAGCAAACTAAAATGCAGCAAATTTGAGTGCCTTTAATTCGTTCATTTATTATTTTGATATTAAAAAAAAACTATCTAATCTATTTTCATTGCTTTCCATCAACGTTTGCACTGCATACGTTTCTTTCTAAGAGTGTGGTAGATTTTTTATTTTTATTTTTTCACACGCTGTTATGACTGTAAACCTCAAATTTGTAGGAATGCCTCTTGTAATTTACTTGATTTGTTGAACTTAATTATAAAGTTTAGATCGTGCTCGTGATTTTCTTCTCATTTAAAATGCCATAATTTGACGGAATATTTTAGTAGGGTTTGGTATATATGCTGAGAAAAAAAAAATAGAGCAAGAGAAAAAGAACAGGAGAATGCGATTTGATGAAAATAAGTTTTCTATTTCTTCCCCTTCCTCTCTATGTTTCTTCACTGTTGTTCTGCAATTGCAGCTACATAAGTTTGTTGCTGTACCTCTTCCTCACCAATAAATAAAATATAATAAATACAAGAAAAGGCTAAACAAAATTGTTCATGAACTCAGGAAACTTCTGAAATGAACTTAGTAGAATTCTATGTAGGGCTTTTTCTTCTGCTGCTTGAATATATATATAGATATATTATAGTACCACCTCTCTATATTTGAGGAAAGATGATGATGTTATCATTGTTACCTTGGGTTGTACTTAAACTAAAAACCAAACTAGCTAGCTACAATAAGGGAATTAAACCAATGAAAACTAGGCTTGTCCTTTGCCATTCCAATCTGGTCTCCCTAATGTAAACTCCAAGCTCGGGTTCTTGCACTCTAAATTTGATGATCCTGACAAGCTGTTCTTGACTTTGGTTGAATCACAATCCTGGTAAAGGAAACAATCATTCATACAACAACAATAACTGCAAAGTTTTATTCACTAATGAAGTGAGACTAGTTACATATATAGATCATATGAGGTTATTACACAAAGTTAAAAACTGAAGTTTCACAGTAATGTCCTGTGAAATAATGAGTATGAAATGATAAAGACAAATGAATGTACATACATAATCTATGTTGGTACCTGAATTTGATACCCTCCTGAAATTTGTTGTGACTGGAAGATCGGGGGCCGGAAACCTTCTATGTCGTTAGCACTGTTTTGTGGCCACGGTTCTCCATTGCTGATCAAATTCATTCATATCAGACAGACACAAGCAAGAAAAATGAAATTTCACCAGTGTCATTGCTCCTATAGATCATACACCATATCATCACAAGCTATTTAAACATTTTGTTGGATGGTAAAACTTTGCTATATGTGCTTTGCAATAAACCTGCTTAATCTTCATCACCATTCACACCGAAAAACTACGAAAAAAAAAGAAACTACAGTAAAAGCTGTTCCTTGACATAGCTATATACTTCATATGTCCCAGCAGAATTCTAAGACCATAGCATTCAAGTGATGGAGGTGCAGTAGAAAAAAAGTGAAAACACTTGGATATAAATAGCTCAAAGCTTTTGGGCTCAATCCACTCTATATTGTGTTGGGGTGTATGCGTTTATTACTTGGATCATACTTATTTTCCAAATGAATACTTGAATACTTTCGGCTTATTTTTTTATTTTAATCATAACACCCCAAAGTACTTTAATGAATTACATGAATATATTATAATTAAAAATATATCAAAATCATAACTGATCATAGCAACAGCCTACACAAGAGACTGAAAAAGATATATATGCTGTCCAATCACAGTCACGAAATATCTTCCATATATTTAATGTTGAGGTTGAAATATAGTTACTTTATCTCAGAGGAAGCTAAGAAATCAACCCTTTGGAAGCAAACTAATTTAGCTTCTATTAACTACTGGTTCTGGACATATTCAAAGATAGAATCACATCTTTCAAAGTAGAATAACAGTACATATATCTTCAATATTTGTGATCCACTAAAAAGGAAGTAGATTTATTTATTAGAAGCAGTGAAAAAAAAAAATTGGTCCTTTTCCTGAAATTATTTTTTAAATATTATGTGATATGTCTCATCTAAACATAAAAAAGGTTGGACGAAGAAAAAAAGTGATAAAAAGAAATTTCAAACCGACTTATAAATTTTGGGTGTTAAATTACTCTTTCTTAGTATAAATTTTTTATTTTTATTGCAATGAAATAGAAGAATAAAACAAACGTAAGCCTGCATATAACAGTAATGATAATAAACAACGAAAAAATAATCATACAGTTCTTTCAAGAAGTACTGTCAATATTGACATACACAGCATAAAAAAAAGTAAGAAAGGACTCATTACGATATATTGATATGTTCAGGCAAGCACATGGTAACTGGCAGTTATAGTACAATAGAACTCCATTATTCTAACTTAACGCTTATGAGCCTTTTTCTTCCAACAAACCCTGACGTTTATCAATGAAATTTTTAGATCAATAGTTTAAGTTTACTAATTCAATCGAACGATAAACAGATGGTGGAGTTAGTCTAAAGTTTAGTGTATCCAGAAACCCAATAAATATAGACAGTTGAAGAGAATGTCCAGGGTTAATGTCAAAAGTAGTAAAAAACTTCGAATGATTTATAGTTATTGTAAAAATTAATAAGGTTGTAATCTGTAGTAGTTTGTCATTAAATAAAAAGCATAAAACCATTTACCTTGTTATATCATAATCCTTCTTCTTTTTTATATGAAAGTATAAACTCTCAAAAAAATAAAAAGGTTACTTACTGGTATCTTTACTTGCAAGAGAGGCAATTCATCCACTTGGAGTATAAATCTATCTTTTGTTCTTTTTTTGGGGAATATAAACTTATGTACATGCATTTTTATGTGTATGCATGTATGTTTCCGTTGTAATGTTAATCACTTAGTCATTCTAATATAATTCGTGCAATGAGTAATTATTTACATGACAATCTATCCAGCATTTTCTGTCACAAAATCTTCACGATACAAGCATGTAAACACCATTTCAAGGGAAAATAAAATCCACACATTTCCCCACTTCAAATTACATTGTTGAGTAGAAAAAAACCTTGAAGAAAAACACACTCAATTCGAAGGATTTAACCATTTGTGTTGTATGCAATTCTGTAGGATGCTGAGAATGTATAACAACCACAATTTTTTACAGTATTCAATAATTAAGATCAAATATGCATCGAGGGTAGTTAGTACTTGGTAGGTAGTGAAAGGACACACACACTTCTAAAAGGGAGAAAAGAGAGGGGGCAAAAAGAAAAGTGAGTGAGAAACTGAGGTTGCTTTCCTTTTATGCTGATTAACGTTGGATTATGTCTTGTAGCTTTCTTTTGACATTGGCTACATATCTAAGGCCAAAAAATTAACTAAGGTACAAAGATATATAAAGGAAACAAAAGAAAGAAGAAAATCAAACACAAGAAAAGAAAAAGCTGCCACAAGAACCCTTTTTATTCTTCATAAAAAAGAGTGAGGTTGGACGTGGGTTTGCGTTTATTTCTAAGAGATACCATGCAAAAGCAAAAGCTAACAAATCAAGCAATGCAGTGTCCCAAAACAAACATTAAAAACACACGTCCATGCAAGCAAAAAAACATATGAAACAATTATTATAGTGTATAAAATGAGAAAGGGAAATTGATAATGGTAATGTAACCTTGAAGAATTACTCCATAGAGTATTAGCCGAAGAGTAATCCATATCTTGTTGCACTGGTCGATCTGATAGGCTTCTCTGGTCTGAAAATTGACGCATACCACCGCTGCTTCCCATTGGAGACATGTCATCTTCACCTGATCCATCTGAAAGGCCTACAACAGAAACAATGACACAAAATTGGCATTCCAAGATCTTTGTATATATAAATATTAATTAATATATGTATGCATGCATGCAGCATCTTCATAATTTTATATTATTTGTCAATCTTATTGGATATCTTATATATATCTTTGTTGAAAGCCCTTTTTTAAGGATAGTTGAAAGCCTCAGAAACAGTGTAAGGCTAGGACAATACAGGAGAAAACAAATGGAATATATAATACTTGCGGTAAAAAAAACGAGGAGTAAAATATGTCTGAAAAGAACAAGGTAATGCAATTTTCACTTATTTAGTTTTACATTAAAACGAAAATAACTATTTGCGAAAAAAACAAGAGTGCTCAAAAAAGAAAAAAAGAAAAAAGGTGAAAGTTGAGCAATATGAATTACCTGAAGAAGCAGCAGGCTTGTCAGTTGTCTTCACAGTTCGATACATCTGGAAAGAATTAACACAAAAATAAGGCATTTTATTTACAATGGGCATTTTCATTTCACACTTTAAAGAGAACTAAAACAAGTACACTCACACACGTATGCATGTGTATATATATATAACTATCTAAATAGATAGTTACTGTATTATTTTTTGAGAAATAAATTTAAGAAAAACAAATAAAATAGCTTGTGATTCCCATTTAGATCCCCTTCCATTGTCTTTCTCTCTCTCCCTCTTCTATGCTATAGCCTCTGGATTGTCTCAGTTTCCTCATTAATCACGAGGTTGATGTTTGATAAGGTGGTAATGAGAGGTGTATTATTGGTAAATGATGACTTTTGTCTGTTCTTTTTCTCTCTCTCTAAGCAGAAGCTGTGTGTGTCTGGTCGTTTCAGACGATAAAGCCTCCTACTAAGCTCACTACATAGTCTTTAAATTCATCCACTCCCACATTCACTGCTTTCTTCATCGGCTAATGTGCCTCTTGGAGAGACCAAAAATCCGCCCCACAAACAAGAAAGAGAGAGAAACCAAACATACCTGCAAATGGCTTTTGACATGAGCTAATGTGAGATCCTTCACATCCATGAGCTCAAGAACTGACTTTGGTGTAGCTCCTAAAATTCATCATCTAAATACATTAGCCAAAAGCCTAAAAGAGGAAAAGAAGAACAAGAACAAGAAGGTGAAATAAAAAAGAAACCTACCTAATAGTCTAATATTGCACATTCTTTCATTACAAGAAAAGAAGATATAATATGACAAGTGAAACGAAAGTCAAAAGTTTTAAAAATTAAATATATATTTTAAAAATAAGGGACTGGAATTTGAAAGAAGAAACAGTGGGAAAAAGTTTGGGGAAAAAGATAAGTAATTTATCTTTACTTTCATGGCCACCGAGAAGCTCCACAGCATGGACAAATCGAGCGTGTAGTGTGCTTGTCCACCGCATTCTCGGTGCTCTCATGCTTCTCTTTGTCGGCAACTTGGGCAAAAACCTTGATCTCATCAACCCTGAAGAGGCATCATGAGAGGCTCCAAGTCCAACCCCATAGTGTGATGATGAGTGATGGTGGTGCAATGGATGGTGAGATTTGAATGCCTCCCCAGAAATTCCATTAAACCTTGTAGCTGTGGCAGCCCTATAAGCCGCGGCCGCCGCAACTGTAGTCCCGCCTGAGTTCAAATAAGACATGGGATCCAGATTACCTGCCGCCGTGGCCGCAGCAAAGTAGGGTGTAGGAGAAGAAGAAAGAGAAGAAGAACACAGAGGAGAACAAGAAGAGGACAAAGAGGGATATGTAGGCATGTGATGATATAAACACATTTTCGCATGATGATCCTTGTCTCTTGAATGTTCCATGGGCAAGAAAGGGAATGAACGATTGTGATACACGGGAATCCCCTTGATTGGCCTCAACCCTTCTGATGACACATCAAGCAAAGAAACCCCATAATTTATGTGACTCAAGTGATTGGAGGAACTTGTGGTGCTTGTTGTGGTTGCTGCTTTTGAAGCATTACCAGTGTTAGAATGGTGCTGAAGATGATGGAAATGGGCCTGTTGGGTTTGATAATAAGGGTTGATGTTGCTGCTGCTGTTGTGTGGTGGTGGTTCTTCAAGACCTCCTCTTCCTCCACCACTGAAATTCCTTCCCAAAGAAAGCTCAGTGTGAGCTTGAGAAGGGAAATTTGTGCTTGTTGAATTGTGAGACTCATAATTGGCGCCACCGCCAGATTTGCTGTTGTTACAAATCAGAGAGGAGGAAGAGGAAGTGCTGGGTGGACTTATGTGAAGGGAAAGATCAGGTGTAGAAGCTGAAGTAGGTTCAATGAAAATCCCTTCCAAGGGCATCTTCTTTAGAAAGGGTATATGGCTTGATGGTTACAGAATATATAAGAGGTATAGAGCTAAGTATAGAGGAAGAGAGAGAGAGAGAGAGAGGGAGAGCTTCTTTTCCTTTATTAAAATCAGATTTTGAGACAAAACAATTAAAGTGCAATATTCACAGGCAAGAAACTGTGCAACAATCCTTTTGTTTTGTTCCTCAGAGAGTGCCTTCAACACACATACAATGAAATCAATTATTTTCTCTCCTCCTCTCTAATTTTCCTTTCCTCTTTTTAGGCTTTCCCCGGGAAAGAATCTGGAAAGCTAACTCTTGCTATCTGAGAACAAACCTTTGTGCTTTTGAAAGAACCAACAAGAAAGAAAGAATAATAACAATAAGAGAAGGAAGAAGATTGCAGAGAGAGAAAGTTAGGAAGAAACGGAAGAATGAATGATAGCAATCTTTAGTAAACAAAAACAGACATACTCAAGAGAAAGCGGAAGAGAGAGTGTGTGTGTGTGTGTGTGATGAGAGGAGGGTATAGAGAGAGAAACAGAAAGAGAGAGACAGATAGAAAGGAAGAGATAGGAAGCAGTGATGTTCAGCTAACAGTGGAGAGATGAGAAGAGAATTTAATTTATTTCTGTCTTTTTTTTCTTCAAATAATTGAAGAAAGAAAATATAGAAAAGAATTCCAGAAAGGCATGGAATAGAAAAACAGGTGGATTTGCGTTTTGTTTTCCTCGAGAGTATATCTTGGAAAATGACACTAGTGACACGTTTGATCCAGAAACATTGTTTTTATTATTTTTTCAAAGTATTGAAGGGTTTTAAATATTTACAAATGAGACATTAGAGGATAAGAAGACTACATATGCGGAATTTCCCTAATTTAATACACATTATAGGCACAACCATCCAAGCTTAAAATGAGATAGACGTGATCAAGATGTGTATGTATGTTTGGTTTAGATGAAAGAAACCCCAAATTTCATAAACACGTGATCTTCAGTTTAATATGATAGATTTCATCATTTCATGTGTCTAAAAAAATTAATTTAGGGAGTTCTCCATTCTGACTTCACTGATTCTTATTCATACTCTTCCAAAATTTACTTGGTCCCATGTTAATTAAGAAAGGGTTGGATAAAAAACACATATGTAATTAACTTATACATTTATGTTTATAGTAGATATCTAATTGGTTAGATGTGTCAGACAACATATTCATATTTTCGAACAAGTTGAACAAGAGAATTATTACAAACAAACCTAAATTTACTAACGATATGATTTGTATATTTTAACATCTGTTACTAAAAATTTTGCAACCTATAATTAGTGAGGGAAAGGTATTTTTGTCACTCATTCCTTTATTTCTCAATCATATATCATAATATTGATTAATGCTTGGTATTTAACACATCTAAAACATATGTTAAATGATAATATGTTTAGATTAAAGTCTAAAACTAAACTTATACACTTCTCAAGTTTGTATATTATGTATTAAAAATTTGATTGCATACACAATAAATCAATATTGTATGATCTATTCGTAAAAAATAACCTTATTATTAATTCTCTTAGTTCTAAAACCATTTTATAAAACCACACTAGTAAAGTAGCAACCATGAGTAGCTATTTTGTAAGAAGAAATGTAATTATGAAAAGTCAAAATTACAAATTTCACAAAAAAAAATAAAAAAATCGTGTCAACTCATATCGTTAACAAGGTGTTGGTGATAAAACTAAATTTAATGATCTATAAAAAGTCATGTCTCCATTTTTTTTTCAATCTGAAAACAATTTGTCTTCTCAGAGACATTTATCAGATCGAGTTTTGTGAGTTTTAAGGAGCAGAAACACAGAAGAGAGATTACATTCTGTGTTAGACATTAAATGTCATTTATCAGATTAAATATAATAATGATAACATATATAATTGAAATTAAGAATTAACGTAAAAAATTAAAATAATAATTACATCACATAAATATTTAATGTAAAAAATTAACAATTTGACGTTTAAAATATTTTTTTATTTATGTATACAAATTTTATATGATAATTAAATTGGTTAAAATAATGAACATCGTAATTACATTTTTATAAGTTGAGAAGAACATTTCAAACAATTCATAGTATTGTTTAAGATAAACAATAATTGAAATACAGATTAAAAGTTTTTTCCGTAGAAAAAAGATTTTAACATTTTGAAATTTAAAATACTAAATAAATTTTGCATATGTGGCTATTAAAATTTAAAGCAACACATGAATGCAAAAAGAAAATTTAATAACATAACATGAAATAATAATTCAAATGTAAGGTTAATTATTAATGAAGAGAAAAATCATAGTTAGTTGAGTTTATAAGATAATAAAAAATTAAAGTAAAGTATATATAAATTTGTATATTACGAAAAATGGTTAGTTAACATGTTAAATAAAATTAAAATGAACTTTTTTTTCTACCAAATTAATTACACGAAGAAATAAATTTATCTAAGTCAACTTTATTTAAATTCCCATAAATATTATTCAAAACAAACATATTCCAGAAAAACATTCCTATAAATGTATTTCATACAAAAAATAAATGACGTTTTATTATATTTTTATTTTAAAAAACTTTTCACTTAAAAACCCTCTTTAATGTTTTTTTTTAAAAGAAACTGATACGTTATTGTAAAATTATGCTAGATATCTGTATATTTATAATATATAGCACTCAGGTAATTGATTAATGGGTGTAACTTTTTTTTTAAGACATAAAAAAAGTTAACAACGGTTGAATTAATGTTATAACTTAATAAATAGCCTCTTATTGAATAGTAGAATCTAATTATATATTAAAAAGTTTAATCTATTTCATTTTATCTATCTTCCACTGGACACCTCCCAATATGTTTTAATTTTAAAAATATTAATTGCATAATTGCACATTAAAAATGGTGATTCTGTAAAAAAAAAATTCCTAAAGTCATGTATAAAACATATTGCAAACATAAAAACAGCATCATGTGTGACACATTCTTCCCCTCTCCTAATTGTTTAAACATATATTATATACATAGTTGGGCACTATTTAAATATAGAAAAATATGTATGTGTGTTTAATATTAAATTAATGAAATGGTGTCTCATTTTCTTGCTTAAATGGGAAAAGTCAGATATAGTACGATGCTTTTATGTTGTTTACTTTTTTTCAAATTCTCTGGTCGTAATCGATTGATATATAATGTTCCGTGTACAAGCTACTAAGAATTAATGCGAACATAAAATAAATAATAACAATAATATTGACCCAAGTGTGAGTGAGAAAAGACTACAAACAAAGGGGTTTCTGTTTGCTTCTCCATTTATGTATATGCACCTCAAAAAACTCAATTAATTAATGACTCCACATGGAAATTTATATTACACATTCACTCCTCATCAATTAATTTAAAACAAATTGTATTATATTATAAAATTATTACTGAAGGAATATTTAGTATTCCTTTGCAATCATATCCCCATACTTGAATTGAAAGTGTATTTGGAAATCCATTTTCATTCACAAATCTTACACTTTTCAATACATAAATATAAAAACAACTTGAACCTGAGTTTAGTTTAATCCAAATATATTATTTATTATTATTATTTTCAATAGCAAATTACTATAAGTGTGTATTTCTTAATTTTGTCATGATTAAAATTTATTATAGATTTTTTTTAATTACTTTTTTGGTTTGTTTAGTAGAAAGAAAACAATTAATAAAATAAATGAAACAGATGAATAAATATAATAATAAATAAAATAAAAATAAAAGATAGAGTAAAAATTACTAGTAAATTACATTCTATTTTATTTTATTTTTATTTATGAAACATTCAAAATTATTATTTCATATTTTCACTCCCTCTTTTCTTTCTATGCTGCCAAGATACTACTAGTGAAAGATTTCCCTTGACCAGTTTTATTTAATTCACACTGTTTACACACAACATTGTGGCATGTTAGTTTTCTCATTTTTACTTTTAAAAATGTCATATTACAGAATTCTATACTTAAAGAAAAGAAAAAGAAAAAAAAGTTATAGTGACAAAATCATATGCTTACCATCTTTCTCTTGAAATGATTGAATAAACCTCTAGCATTGACCAAGTAGAGGGGTGTCAGTTTTCCAAAACCCTAGGTTAAATCAACGACGATAATAATTTATTACACAAAATATGGGATCCTTAACTCTTACTATCGGGAACTAACCCCCAAATTTAATGTCTGACACCCTAGCTTGGGGCGGGGTGTCACCTTTTTAATCAAACACTTAATATCAACGTTTTTTAATTCACTGTGTCACCATCCACAACGT